TCTTTATCTCTAGTTGCCAATACTGCTCTTGAGTCACCAACATTGCCAACAATTATATCCTGGCCCTGAGACACCACAAAAAGATCAGTTAAAATGCTTGTGGAATGCTAAGAAATTATAAAAGAGCTAGAATAACCAAATATGTGGCAGACTCATATTAAACCCCTCCCACTCAGACTTGATTATTTTCTACAACTAGTATGTTTCTTTCCCTTTTTTTTGGTAAGTCAACTAGTATGCTTCAAGATCATGTACCAGTCAAGTGAGAAGTACTAAGGGAACTGTTTTAAGTCTAACTATTAAATAAAATATTTTAGAACAAGAAGATAACTTGCTAAATTGAGTTAACTACCAGAAGAAGACAAATTTATTACAAAACATCCAGTAGATTGAGAGGGCAGTCAGTAGAGAACTCGGATGCACAAAATTTTATTATTTGAATGGATTTTATACAATACATAAATGAACTGTATCAGGTTTTCATGTTTGATGTAACCCATGTAGTAGTCAAGGACATCAAAAGTGATAATCCTTCAAAAGCAAAGACAATGACTAGCCAATGACTGGCAATTCAAAAATAGCTCATTTATTGCCTCCGGGGATTTGATCTAGGGGTAAGCATGTGGCGTGTGATGTTTTGTGTTAGGCGCATGTCATGTACTCGGACCCTGCATCACTGGTCCTTGGGAACTTATTGGCTATAAGAAAAAGTAGCTCACTAATTTGCTACTATAATTACAGTATTACCCATTTATAAGCACCCAAATATTAATTAAAAAAAAATTATCAGTAAGTACCCAAATTTTTTTTTTCTGAAACATTAGGATTTAGGAAAATAAACCTCGTTTATACAAAAAAAAATTAGCTAAATTATTACCTGCATCACCAAGGAAACAGCAGTTGATCCACTACAGAAACAATCAATAGAAGGGTGCAACTTGAGTTCTTTATCCATCGACCGGAAAGCTTTTAACATTGATCTTTTAAGGGGAAGATGTATTTCTGGGAACTTTTCATTGTTCTCAGCTTCCATAGCTTCAATCAAATCATCATCCAAGACATCATCAAGATGTGAACCTCCGTTGGTATTTCCTGTCTCAGAAGTATTACTTTGATCACCACCGGATTTAACTTGCCACTCTGAACACAGGAGAAACGGAAGAGTATCTCGAACTTTCCTTGCCACCATATGGCCATAGGGACCGTGTCCATCAAATACTCCGCAAAAGATCGTATCACTTCGCGAGCAAAAATTCTATTGTAGAAAATTCCAACCAAGTCATAAACTGACCCAATAGATAAGAACAAATTAACTCTTTGTTTTGACAAGTAATGGACTTAATGAAATTTAAGTATACAATAACTACACTTCCATAGGACTCAAAAATTTTGATGCAAAACTGGAATAGTTAATTGGGTGAAGGAAGCTTCAGAAACAAGAGCTACGTAGGTTATTTTGACAGTCCATCTACCATAATTGATGGTTGAAAGGATCATATATATGACTTCTATGCATAAGTAGACATCATTCTACACACTCAAACCTTACATGATTAATAACTAAACTTATACCGGCCATCAACCTACCACAAACCCTCCTCATTTACCAGTCCGCAGAACTGGCTATGTGATAGAGAATTAAAAGGTTCAATTTTTAGATATCAATGCTCCTACATGCACAAAATGATTGAGGATTTGGTTACTCATTTGACATAAGAGACATTCAATGCAAAGAAAACCAAAAGGAAGAAAACACAAAATTCGGATGATTCATAATCCAACTTGCACACAGGACATCAATCCACTACAACCCCCCTCTTTTGTCGGGCCTTGGAACCGCCTATGTGATAGATAATTAAAAGGTTCAATTTTTAGATATCTAAGCTCCTATATAAGCACAAAATAATTGAGGATTTGGTTACTTATACAACATAGAGGCATTCAACGCAGAGAAAACACAAGATTGAGATGATTCATTGCAGACCCGCCATCAACCTATCGACAACCCTCTTCATGGAACCAGCTATTCACAGATAATGAGAAGGTTCAATTTTTAGAAATTTAAGCTCCCATACGCACAAAAAGATTGATGATTTGGTAGCTCGTGACATAAGCAGAAAAACACAAAAAAATAATTGAAGAAACAGAGAATTGAGGACCTCCCAAATGATCATGGCATCTTGATTCGTTCCTTTTTTCCCTTGCTGAGTGTGTAGGCAAGCACGGGAGGTGGCTCCATTCCCCAAAATCCTTCCGGGAATATGATGCAGCCCCTTGTCCTCACCCCCTCCTCCACCAACACCACTTAACTTGCTTAAAAATGAGCTGAAATCGCCACTATAACTGTTCTTCTTCAACTTGTAATCAAACCTTCTGCTGTCATTCTTACCATCCCACAACCCATCATCGCTCTTGCTTTTACTTGAAGAGTAACAAATTCCCATTCCCCCTTAAAAATCTGCGTTCTCTCTCTGAGGAAATTTATCAAACACCTCAGAATAATTAAACAAATATGTCTCCTGCAAGAATTCACTGAGATTCAACTCAAAGAAGAAAAAAAATGAAATTACTAAGAAATGAAACAACACTCGAAGAATTCAATACTGAAACAAAGAGAAATTGAAACAAGCAAATTGCTGGATCCAAAAGATTGAAGCTGAAAACCCTAAAGATTACAAGCAAAAATAATGGCAGAAAGTGATAGAGAGATTCATTCAGATATAATAAAAGAAAAGATGGTAGTCAGGTGAGGATGAGTAGCTTCCAATTTATGACTATCTCTCTATATTTTTATTTTATAAGTAAAAATATACATGAGTTAAATTTGTGTATTATTATTTTTGTGTTTGGTTATACTAGGCAGATATTAATTATGTTATGCATATATTTAATATGGCAAATAATAGAATTAGCAATGCATCAGACTTTCATGGCATACATTAGTAGGATTAAAGGTTTAATTCTCCCTTAATATATTTTATGTATTCTTTTCACCGTATTTTAGGTGTTACTATAAAAAAATTAGAAATTAATTAAGCCATGCATGTCATTTTAAATATTCAACTATACGATTTTGATTAATTAATTACTTAATTGTATTATACGTATTAAATAACGTTGGTCGTGTGCTGTGAATTGAATTCAATGCAATTGCAAGTTGACTATATTGTACGTCGGCTCCCCAAGTCCCACGCGGCTACGCCATTTCCCTTTAAGGTCAATAATGTCAATTTAAAAGTTGTCCACGAGCTTTGACAATTTGCTTTGGAACCATCTTTAAAACTCTAGCTTTTATATTCTTGTTCCTAATTACTCGTCTATTTGAATTTATATTTTCATTAAGAGATTAATAATTATCATAGTGAGTTTACTATTTACTTCTATTATTAATTATAAAATCAATGAATTAAAAATTTAAGATTTTGAGAAGGTTCTATCTTTTTTGAATAGATTAAAAAAAATATTTTTTCTTAATTTATTAAAATAAACAAGTAATTAAAAGTAACTAAAAAAAAGTGAACAAGTAACTAGGGACAGATAGAAGTATAAAACATTGATTTTTAGTCCTTTTTCTAATAATTATGATGTTCTAGGTTTTTTTTTTGAATTTCCTATCCGGTGTTCAATACTCACATTGAAGTCCAACTAAATTTGAATTCGCCTCAGAAAGTCCTACATTTGTGTAAAGCGTTCCCTAAAAAAAGGTAACTTTGTAGTCATTGAACATGGAAAAATTAAAAAAAAAAAAAGAACAAAATGTATATCGCCTTTAATTAAACGAACTAGTAATATTATAAGGTAATTTTTTTTACCTTATTCGCATATACTATGATAAAAAGTTAGTGAATGTCTCAAAAGAAAGTCTCTTGTGAATCGAGAACAACTTGGTCAAAAATACCTTTTAAAAACTTGTAACTTTGGTTTTTATTCTTTTTTATTTTCACTTTTACCAACTTATTATAATTTATTCTAATGAGAAACTTAATGCAATCCCAATCAATTAGTTCAAGAATAGTAAAGGGAGAGTGATAAATTAAACCATAATTAAATGAAACTTATATGGGATGGTGGCCATGGGGGACCAATATGTTGTAGTCAACATGTGGGAGACCCTCCAATTTATTACATCTGGAGGTTCAAGTTCCACAATCTCAATATTAAGAAGAAGAAAAAATCAATTCCAAATTGGCATAGTATGTTTTTTTAAATAAAATATTAAAAGTTGTAACGATTATTTACTCTCAAATTTTAACCTCCTCAAGATTACATGTGACATTTTAATTAAAGAAATATGTATGTGTGTTTTTATTCATGAAATGGATATGATTTATGACTTTTGTAATTTTTCAACAAGCTGAGATTTGACTTTTTATTATGGAAATGGAATAATGTATAAAGTAGGTGAATTATAGGTAAAAGTAGCTAAAGCTATAATATCATCTCCTACTAGGAGCTTTTGATAAATAGAATCTTTTAAAAGCCACATCTTGAACAAAGAGCTGAGGATCCAATGCCACAATTCTCTTGTGCCCCTTTAAATATGATATTATTAAGTATTTTTATCAGTAAATGTATGATTTAATATCTGGATAATAACTTAATTATTAGTAAGTTTTGTTTTAATTTTTGCGATATATGATACAGAATATAATATGTTGCATCATGTGTCACAAAAATAAAAATAGAACTTGTAATAATTGAAGGGTCAAGTTATCATTCCAAATACTAAATCATATATTTATAGATAAAAATAGTTAGTAGCCAACTGTATCCTCTGTTGAATAGATAAGTAAGGATGAAACAATAATTTAACTACTAGTTTATTTTCAGAACTTGTTTATCCTCAACTTAATTTTCTAATGGTATTACAGTTAAATGTAATGGTATTTTCCACCTGAAAGGCTGACTTGAATTGATCCAAACTGGAAAGTTCGAATGTATGTAAATTGAACAATCTATGTATAGCTGTCACTTGTGTTATTGCTGAAGCAAACAATCTGTACACATGCCTAACTTGTATAGATAAAATATAGTAATAGGAGAATAAACTGTAGTTTTAGTACCAAGTTCCTCATAGTCAAGGATCCTTACAGAAACAAGTGAGAAAAAAATGGCATAACATTTTACAGACAACCCTTCTTCAGAATGTATTATTAGAATAATAAAATACACAGAGGAGTGAAGCACAAATACGCAGCTCACATATCCTCATCCTTACAGCTTCGAAGCTGCATCCTTGTCTAAAAACCAAACTAATTCTCCTTCAGGTGAAACCATCTGCACAGGCAGCAAATCAGAACTTTTATCATCACCTAGCGATTTATGCACTACATCTGCCTTACCAGCACCTACTATAGCAAGTGCAATATTTGCAGATGAGTTTATTACAGGGAATGTAAATGTAATCCTGTTCGGTGGAGGTTTTGGAGAATCCTTGATGAAGGTGACCCACTTCGCTTTCTCATGGACAAGAGGATGCCCGGGAAACAAGGAAGCTACATGTCCGTCTGGACCCATACCCAATAGCATTACATCAAATTTTGGAAACCCACTCTCTTCAGAGATGTCAAGTATCTTGCTCTTGACTAAGTGCCTTAGACAAGTCTCGTAATCATCTGCCGCAGCCTCTGCTGATAATGCATCATTTATGGCATGCACATTACCAGCAGGAATAGGTATCTGCCAAGAGAAGTAAAGATGAGGTTAGAAGTTTGGTAGAAAGAATTAAAGATGTCAACTGAGAATAATGATGAAGTAAGAATTATCATCATTCATAATAAGATCAAACAATGTAGGCAGTTCACATGTGAAGCCAGTACTATGAGCAATTTGAAATCCAAAAAGATGCCCTTGCAGCTATGCATCACTAAACATCTTTTCTGATACAAATTGGATAAATTTAGTTCACAACCATCTTTATTTAAATAGTCTGTGCTTAAGAGCTGGTCAGACTGCCAAGTAAGAATCAAGAAGTAAAGGCAACCCAACTTGTTAGAGATAATGAAGAGACTTAACTGAAAGTAAGTAGGTTAACATTGAGGGTGTAATTCAAACCCACTTATTCATCCTTATATTAAAAGGAATTCACCGAAGTCAACATAAAATGTCCAACTGATCTTATCGGCAGCTCCACATGGTATTGAGTTGGACACTCTTTGCTCTTTAAGTTTCCCAACATGCTCAATTGACAATTGTGCTTAAGTTATAATTACTTTTCAGTTGATCCTCTAAACCTCAACCCCGCTTAACTCTTCTAGCCCCAAAAATTTCCAAATCCTTTCTCATTAAGTAATCTCTACCATGGTAAATGTTTGAAGTATTTTGCTAATGCTCCATCATTTTAATATAACCCCCCCCCCCCCCCCCACACACACAAAATAATAGAAGGACCTCAGTTGTTGTTTAAGGAGGGCTTCAGGGGCTGACAGATTCTATAAGAAGTAATTTTATATCAGAATTTTGTTAACCAAAGCAAAATTTAATGTTTTCTAAAAAAAAAAGTGAATTTGAAGCTGTTTATTCCAATACAGTGCAAAGATTTTCTTTTTAGTTTCTTGTTTTTACATGAATTGCGTAACATCATCACATATCTTAAGAAAATGTAATCTAAAACTTATTTAACATACAGCTTCTTCGCACAGTTGGGTCCATGATAGATATGATCATGTAAACAGATTGCTTGACTTTGTCACATATAACCAAACCACCCCCAAATATGTATATATATATATAGGTAGAGATTGTTTCTTCCGTCCATATATTAGCAGGCTTATCTTACTTAACTTCTTAATCTCAAGGACTGCGGAAAAAGATATGTTTATAGTATGCATGACTTGCATTCCTTGTTACCGCTGCCCTAACGCCCTCACATAATTACTTTCTCAATTGATTTTCCCAAATATTTCATCCAGAGTTGAATGAGAATCTGAATACCTCTAGATGTATTCTCCATCAATACTGTGCACTTTAATCTCTGTTCACATCCCCCCACCCCCTATAACTTATTTGTTAAGGAGATTGAGACCATCAGCATTGCTCGTAACTAGAAAAAAAAGATAAACTTAAAAGATTAACTTTTTTTTATAACCTGCTGTCTGGGCATGTCTACTAGTACTTTGGGGTATCTAACTGAACAGATGAGAAGAAATCACTAGTACAAGAAACCTACTGCGTCCCACATTTTGACTGGGCAAACAAGCAAAAGATCAGAAAAGTTGGGGTAAAACAACAAATACACAGAGGAGAGGTGAAATATAATGGGTAGAAAGCTAATGAAGAAACTACACAGTACACACTGTGGCAGCAGTAAATAAAATCAATATGTTGTAGGAAGGGCTGCAAATATACCTTGGATAGAAAACCATCATAAGCAAGCAAATAATTGCTGTCAGGATGATCCTTTGGAACCACTCTCTCATCCACCCAGAAAACGTGCCATTTGGACCAGTCTATTGAATCAATATATGGTGGCTCCACCAATTTCCTGCAATAAACATTAGCAACCCAAAAAAATTCCCCAATTCATAGAAGAAACAAAGAGAATTAATCAATCATACCTGAGAGACTTGATAAGTGAACCACCGGAAACAACCACAGTAAAAACATCTCTCTCCTTACAAAATTTCTCCGATAAATCAGCAGTGTACTTCGCTAGAGCCACAGCAAGTTCCTCATCGGAATCGTACACTTTCACTTCCGCTTTACTTTCCCCAGACACTGTCTCAGCCATTGATGATTTGGTTCTGAACTGAGATCTCGAGAAATTTGTACTCAACACTGAGTTCCTCTGATGCGGGTGGGAGCAGAAAAGTGGCTTTCCAGCAACGGACGGAGAGGTCAATGCAAGAGATCGTCGGAGAGGAGACAATCGGGTAGGTGAGATGCGCAAGTTAGCAGAGAGAGCGGAAGAAGAGGAGGCTAAGTCCAGTGTGCACTCTGCCATGTAATAAAACTATATTATAAATGTATTAGTGTAAGTTTCCGATGAAAAAAAATATTATTGCATGGTATATATTTTCTTGATGTTGTCACAGCAAGGGGTGAACAAAATTGAATCGAACACTGCACCAATTCGTAAATCGAGAAAAGAAAACCATTAGCAATTTGGTTTGACTTGGCTTGGTATTGAAGAAAAAAAATTGACCGTTTTGCGTTGGGTCGGTTTAACTTTAAAATGTCAAACCAAGAACAAACCAACCCGACATCATATATATAATTTTAAAAATGATTTTATACCTTTCCATTTATCTTCATGTTTTACCTTAAGAGAACTCCCCTTTGAGGATGAATAGATTGATTTATGACTTCCCGATGTAGTCTCTTTTGCTATAGTCCCATTGTTTATAATTCTAGTTGAGTTTCTAGGTACTACACTAGGTAATGGCTCTGTTACCTCCACTGGTTGACCTCTTGGTTGCCATTTTTGTACCAATTTCTGAGGCCTTTCCTTCTTTTTGGTTGCTAAAATTATGACTTTACAATCTGAGGTACATCTTCATAATATTGTCTCATTTGAGGATAGGTGTAACAGTCATGACCTATTTTCAAGCAAGAATTGCAGAACTGGGCTTCCAATCAAACCATACTTTTTGTACACACTGTCTTCCATTAGGCTCATGCACTGTAATTTCCTCTGAGAGAGGTTTGGTTAAATTTGTCTCAATCAACGTCCTTGCATATGATATTCTAGTTTGTTTGGTGGTACACTCATCAACATATATAGGTTTTCCAATAGCACTAGCAATGCGTCTGAAAGAGTTGCAACTCCAGCAGTTCATAGGCAAATTGGGAAAATTAAACCATGTGGTATTTAAGTATACTCCTTAGTGAAAGTAAAATCAGCAGATCATTGTTTAAAATAACCTTTTATTTATAGTATGAGGTCTAGTATACAATACCTCCTGCATATTCTCCATGTTTGGAAATTTGATAATATAGTACCCATCTTCATACCGATATAGATCAGGTTGAGCAATGTTTCCCCGTTCTTACTGATATATTTGTTCACGAAGTTATACCCTGGGAGGTCTTCCATCACATAAGCCACTAGTGCACATCTCCACTTGGCAGTTTCCTAGTCTTCTTCTTTGATTTCTCCAAATAAACTATTGTTTCATCATTAATAATCGAGGGTTAGGAGTGGGCGTTCGGTCAGTTCGGTTATTTTATTTTCAGTTTGGCAAAAATGTGAAACCAAACCAAACTGAAATAAGTTCGGTTCGGTTATTACAATTTCGGTTTGGTTTATTTTGGTTCGATTTTCGGTTTAACCAAATTTAATAAATAGGGTACATTTTCAAAATTCAATCACTTTTGCTCACTTTTTTATGTTTTAAGTACATCTCCCTTTTTTTAACAGATACAAGGAACCAAAAAAAAAAAAAGGCATTATTATAGTTTTAACACCAAACAAGCTAAGCTAACAGTTTATTTTCTTTTGCAAAGCAAGCATTCTTGAGCAAAACCCAAACTTGGCTAGTGGAAAATCCAATGTGGCAACCAAACTTGGCTAACTACTTCACAATCACGCCCATTCACAGTAGCAGACAACTTAGAATCAGATACATTCATCCTTTGACTCTATGCACATATTCATTACAAAAACACGGCCCTTTCTTTCCTTTTCTTAAGTGCAGTTGGAGGATCATTTTTCATGTACTATAATATATGTGCATAGCAACTTCGTAGCTTCATATGAACATTCGAAGAATAAGTAAGATACATGATTAATACTACAGAGGAATGTTACAAATGTAGACGTCACTAAATTCTTCCTCAAAGCTTACAAGTTACAGGAGAAGTAGCCTCTAATTAGCAAATTATAAGTCTTAAAAAACAACCTTCCAACCAAGTCATTGAAAAATTGTTTATAGCGTCAGATTCCATTATCAAATTACCATGAAAATAAATATTTTCAGATGAGAGTTGGGACGCTGACCTTAACAGCGTAACTCGGGAGCGAGCACTGATCACTGGCCAGAACTGAGCAGGAGTAGCGGCTGACGAGAGTTGCGAGACGACGAGCAAGTGACGAGATTTCAGTTTAGAATTTCTGATTTGGGAAAATTGGGTTTTGGGCCAAATTTGAATATGGGTTGTGGGCTTACTATGGGCCATGTCGTATGGGCTAAAGTAATTTAATTGGGCCTCAAAACAAATAGAGCGGGTCAAAACCAACAAAAGAAATGAGGCTAACTAAACTATCCGAACGAAGATTGAGACCTGCCTGTGTGTCGAAGAAAATGAAGTTGAGCTTCATTCGACCAATTTCATGTTGCTCTGTTTCATCTCCAGCAACCTCAGTGAAACCTCAAAAACCTATATTTTTAAGGCCACCCACCTTCAAAACAACCATATCAGACCTTCAAAAATGGCATCATTGGGCTAAATCCCTAATTTCTTCTGTGGGTTCCACTTTCTTGGAACTGGACAATGGTCCAGACTCCGAATTGTTGCTCAGGGAGCTAAATTGGCTTGTTGAAGATGCAATTGAAACACCAAAATCTTTCTTGCAACAACCCCACAAAAATTACAATGATAATAGCTCAGTTGCAGTTCGGGCGTCTTTGGAACAACTGTATATGTTGTGGAAACGAAGGGTAGAAGAAAGAATGCCATTTCAGTATGTGGTTGGCTGTGAACATTGGAGGGATTTGGTTTTGAGTGTTCAAGAAGGGGTTTTGATTCCAAGGCCAGAGACTGAGCTGATTGTGGACCTTGTCGATGATGCTATTAAGGAGAATGGGGAATTGAGGGAAGGATTGTGGGCTGATTTGGGGACTGGAAGTGGTGCACTTGCTATTGGGATTGCAAGGATTTTGGGTACTTCTGGTAGAGTTGTTGCTACTGATTTAAGCCCTGTTGCTACTGCAGTTGCATCTTATAATGTGCAGAGGTATGATTTGGAGGTTAGTATATTTTGCAATTTGCTTGTTGCTCCTAGTATGGTTTGAAATGAGCTTAAATGAAAGCAGGATTATATAGTCGACCCCAACTTGTTTGGGACCGAGGCGTAGTTGTTGCTCTTAGTATGGTTTAAATGAGCCTTAAATGAAGGCAGGGATTCATATATTGGACCCCAACTTGTTTTGGACTGAGGCGTAGTTGTTGTTGCTCTTAGTATGGTTTGAAATGAGCTTAAATGAAAACGGGGATTCATATAGCTGACCCCAACTTGTTTGGGACTGAGGCATGGTCGTTACTTGTTGCTCTTAGTATGGTTTGATGAGCTTAAAAGAAGGCAGTGATTCATAGAGCTGAACCCAACTTGTTTGGGACTGAGGCATAGTTGTGGTTACTTGTTGCCCTTAGTAAGGTTCCTCTTTGAGATTTTACTTCTGTGTCACTGTATTTTCATAGTTGATTGTCTCAAGCTAGTTGATCTTTAAAGCTAACTGCTATAGTTGTAGAATTGACTAGTTTAGCAAAAGCTTTGATTCTTAAATATTTTTGGCTGAAGAAAAATGGGAACTTGATCAGAAATCAGAATTTTATACATTGTTATAGAATTAGTGAAATAGAGTTTAATCATTGATTAAACTTTCAGGGCTGCAAATTTTGAATAGAGCATTGTCTTGAATTTTGTGCTAGGAAAAAGTGCATGTAAAGCAAGGATCTTGGTTTGAACCTTTGAGAGATAATGAAGGAGAATTTGTGGGACTGGTCAGTAATCCACCATATATTCCAAGCAAAGATATTGGTGGACTACAAGCTGAAGTTGGCAGACATGAACCTAGACTGGCGTTAGACGGTGGAGCAAGTGGTATGAATGACCTTATCCATCTCTGTGATGGAGCTGTTTCAATGTTGAGACCTGGCGGTTTCTTTGCGTTTGAGGTAACTATCCATTTTCTGGATCAAGCGTTTTACACTTTCCCGTTTGACTTGTTATTCGATAGTGGCAAGCTCTGGCACCTCATTGGCTCACAATGACTAATCTTACAAGATGAATATGAACTTCTCAATCATATATAATCTCTTACTTCTTTTACCTTGAGGGAGTCCTTGATTTATTCATGAGTGTGTACATTTTTCTAAGATTCTCCACTAGTTTTGCAAGGGTTTAACTGTTTTAAGTCACATAAATATTGCAAGAACAACTAACCTGGAATGATAGATAGTAGATGTTTTTAAGATTATCCCCAAATATTAATGGAGATACAGAATACTAATTCATTTCTCAAAAACAGAATGTTTGCTTATTGACTGTAAAAGAGACATTTAAAGCAGAACCTGATAGGCATGTTTAGTTTTGTACTCTCCTAGCCTCATTGCAAAAAATGTCCATTTTAATTTGCTTATTAATGCCCTTTCATCATGTTGCTGCAGACAAATGGTGATGAACAGAGCAAATTCCTAGTCCACTACATCGAGACTAAGAAGCAAGGTAACTTCTCTAAAGTGAAGATGGTATCAGATTTTGCCGGCATCAAGAGATTTATAACAGGATTTAGAGGAAGATGATCTGTGACATTAGCCAAAGAAATCATACAAGGGAATGAATGTGGAAGAACCAGGGGTTTGGGGGCTACAGATTCTGTTCTCTTGGGTTTGAACAATTCAGTTTTGCTCTTTGGACTTTACAGAAAGATATATTATCTCAGATTGTCTCTGATCTTGTGCAAAGAGTCATTTACTACTCTCTAGTAGGCAAACTTCAGTGTAAAGTGATTAAAGGCTAGTGCAAGTTTGAAAACCAAAAAAAAAAAAAACTACTGCACTCCTTGCAATTTATGAAATTAGGATCAGATCTTTTTTCATCAGCTAGTGTCTCAGTTTGGTTGAAAGATGATCATGATCTGACTACTCTTAATTATTCCCAGTGAAACATAAATTTTAATGCTTATTTGCTCAAAAACAAGGATCTAAAATCTGGATTATATTTGCACCCAATAGATCTAAATCAAAACCAAGAGAAGAAAAACTGAACACTAAACTCTCGCTGTGTCCAAATCCACTAACTTCACATAAAGGTATTAGAAGGAAAGAATGTAGATCTCGTGTTTAAATATGTGGAATGAGCAGGATCAACAGTATGAATTGTCCTACAACTGCATTGCACAGAAGAGTACAATTTTTTTTCTCTGAAATTTATTACACCTCAAGTAGTCCAAGTCCAGGCAGGATCATCAGATGTACAAAGATTTGCTCAGTTTTGTTCCTCCTAATCAATTCAAAGGATCTAACTCAAAACTTGGCGTTGCAATAGATAAATGCTGCTGGATAATTAGGATACAACATATCTTAGTGTAATCCCACATAGTCTGGAAAGGGTGGTTGTAAGCAAGCCGGATAATTAGGATGATATATACAAATGGATCAGCTAACCAGCACATTTATACTTGTTTAGCCAAACCAACAGATGAGCTCTCCCCTGATGAGAAGTTTGGTCATCTCCATGTTGATGCATATGAAACCTTAAGATATCACATCATGTCTTTTTATCCTCGTTTTTCATTTTGTCCTGATTTTAGGGGGCAGTGGATGTTGAATCATCACAAAAATGGCATCTGAGCATCGTAACCGATTATGATGCATGTAACTCATGAAGACCTTCTCCATTGCTTCTTTCCTTTCATCTGATTCAACTTGAAAGGACTCCAAGTTTTTCTCCGCTTTGGCGTCTCACAAAAAAGTCCAGATGCTAGAGCTTGCTGGAGCCACAGCTCGAATTCTTCATCTTCATCTGTCATCTCAGCATCAAAATCCCAGGGGTACCTACTTGAATTGGATCTCTGGGATGATTTCTCTAATCCAACCATGTTCACATGGAAACTCGGTCTATGTGTATTTGGTCTACAAGCCATGCCCTGCACAGAGGAGATTCGTAATACAAAAACTAGCAGCAAAGGCCATATTTCCATCTTTTTCATAATGACAGAATACTGACCTGACATATGGCCCATTCCGACACATCAAATATCTTGCCTTCAGCACAAACGAAAGCACGAGGTATCTCCGCCTGAATGACAAGTATATTTACAAACATTATGAAGAATGAGCATCTTATGGACGCACATCAAGAGAAAGCATGATCAACTAAACTACAGCTGAAAGGAAGGGAAACCACTGTTCATGTGCAGCTAGATGCTGATTTCAACTCTTTGAAGTTGACATTTGACTAGTAGTGCCACACTAATTGGCCAGAGTATTAATATTTGATTGTACCCTCTAAGCACATAAATACAGTAACTCATACAGTTAAAAAGTGGAGAACCACCCTATATACCATTAACTTGATCACATAAACCATGTTAAGATTTGACCAAACCAGAGGAAAATCCTAGAGACAGATGATGGACTTGCTTCATTGCACCATCAACAATTTGAAGCTTGGTAATGCAGCCAAGGTAAACCATTAAGTACAAGAGTCCAAATATTTTGAATTGATCTAAGTATTTATATTTTTTGATAAATTGCTTCCTACAATATCTATTGAAAATCGAACTTGACAGTAATGATCTAGTATAACGTGCAGCTTTTTTTGTGACTATAATATATGTTTGGGGCCAAAACTTGACGGCAACACTTTCAAAGTTCAGAGATAATGGACCCAATCCTCTGCCCTTCCCACTTAAATGCCGAACTTAGTTTGCATGGCGCAGGACTCGAATTTGTGACCCAACTCACAAGTATAACATGGCATTAAAATGTTTGTCTTGCTTTAAGAACCCAGAATAAAAAATACTCTAATTCCAAGATTTTCAGGAAATGATAATCTGTTCCTAAATGACACTTTTATCTATCGAACTGGTAAATGAACCAAATTGGACACTACTTCGCATGAATCTTTCAAGATAATATAAATTACTATGAAATTTAGATACCTTTTGTGGTCGATTGAAAACCAATGATCCTTTGTATTCTACCCATCCATCCCCATCTTTGGCTTGGTGATATTGACAACAATCCTGTACACCAGCAGCTTTCATTAAAATTTGAACAAGTGAAAGAGAGGAATAGCAAGTTAGCAACCATAGTAGACAATTTAATGATTGCACAACCTGGCACCATCTTGCCTTGACCTTTGTCCTATTGGTGCAGATCCAAATGTGTGAGTTGCCACATTTTGTGCAGTGGATACGCCTTGACTCTTCTGAGCAGTAGTTGGAGGATTCCTGCACCATACCAGATAAGCCATTTGTAAATATTAAGCCTTCCCTTTTAAGATCGGAAGATCAACTTTGGCATCTTATTTATGACCTCAAAGAAATTGACATGGAACTGGTGGCTTGCAAGAAAGGCATCCGATATTTTTATTTTATTTTTTACATCCATCAATATTCAATAACTATTTGCATGAGTTTCCCGTAGATCATAAAGCTGAACAGGTCTTAGATTGTGCCATTGAACTTCTCATTCCAAAAGAAATTCTTTCTTCTGAAAATTCCAGGATACCATACAATTTCTGCATGCTCACCCGAAATTGTCGTTACACCTTGAAAGCTTATCATGCTTTGACATGGATCTTATTGGTATTACATAATTTAATTTGGTGTCATCATTGCAAGAAATAGGGCTAAGACAGTTCAAGTGAAGGACAGGGCAGACACTGAATCTAGTCTTTCCCAGTTAAAGAGATACAACTAGCTCTCATTGAAACTTTTCCCGCTTGGATAATTTTGTATGCAGGATAAGATGTTGAATTCTGACAGGTTTACTGGAGATAAATGAAGTTCAGTCAGACACTTGAACAGACCTGGTTGGACGTGCTAGGTGATTTTTGCAGTACACTCTTAGATTCTTCCTTTCTGAGTTGCTCATCATAGTCTCGCTTCTTGACAGCATCAGAAAGAACCTAAAGGCAAGTGACAGTATTAGAAAACCATAGCAGCATGTTTGCATCTCAAACAAATAGGAAGCAAGCCAACAATAGTATTATAACAGCATAACAGATAATTTAACTATTAAAATAGTGATCACCTCATATCCACATTGAAGTTTCTTAAATGATTCACTGGCAAGTGAACTTCCCATGTTTTTGTCCGGGTGCACAAGCATTGCCTGCGCATTTCATGTATGTAAAATTAGCATCAATCTGAACTTCGTCTAGACGGAAAGTAAATATATCATCGGATCAGGCATGAAATTTGTTATCTTGCGTCAAAGAAATGGACACTTTGACGCCTAACTCAAACCCATCAAACTAATCAAAAGACGGATGAGTAATCAACATCAATTTGATCTGACACGTAAGGATATCAAAAAGATGGATGAGTAATCAACATCAATTTGACACGTTCTAATTTGTTAGGGTAAATTGAAAATGAATGAAACTCCGGTAGATGTCTCTCAAACCCATCACTTGGCTTTAAAGCCTGTCACATGATATATAATGCATAGGCATGATAAGAAAGTGGCACACCTTTTTACGATATTCTTTTTTCAACAGTAAAGTGTCAATTTTCTTATGCCGAGAAACCCCTAGTGCTTCATAATGATCCGCACTATCTAATATCCGCTTCATCTCAATTATTGAACTTGCATCTTCTCTAACTACTGGCTTAGCTGGGGGTTCTATCTGTTTGGTTACAACTGATGAAGTAGAAGTAGAAGCAGCGTCGCTGAATGTTTTGCAAGCGTGAACCTTTTCAACTTTTTCAACCTTTTCAGGTTCATCCAGAGGAACTGATGACTCATAATCTGTGGAGAAGTCATCCTCAGTAAATGTTTCGGACTCTTTAAAATCTTCAACATGTGTGCCTTCACTCAAATTGTCACACCACTGGAGTAAGTAGTTCACTAAGTCATTTGAGAGGAAAGCGAGATTTATTGAGAGACAAACTCCAAGCCATCCAACTCGAACTTTAACACAATACATAGCATATATGGTAGCCATTAATACCACAAGTCTTGCATGGTTTAATGAAAACAGATAACCTACAAAACCACCAAGACAAGGATCAAATGATGCATAACTTCTGAAAATACGGTATATCATACATACATGTGTTGCACTGGGAAATTAAACTTGAGAAATATATCAGATAGAAGCAATACCATAAGGTGTGTAAAAACAAGTCAAAAAAGTAGGATCAATTCCATAATATCACCTTTCTTTCCTATTTTAAACTTTTCTATAAGTTGCATGTGTCTCCAGTAGAGGGAAATTACAAACTAACAACATAGATGCAGTCCACACATCAAATACTCCAGGATCCTATGTCTACAGCAAGATCCACCTGGCTGGACTGATACAATACCTTTGAAAGTCACCAGTCGGCCTTTGAATGTACAAAATTATGCTTCCATGCAATTAAACTATCTACTTTTTTGCTAGCCCAACCCAATCTTAAAACAAATGCCTTGCTAAGTTTTCTTCCCCATCGGAATGTTGTAGAACAAATAAAATAGTGATATATTTACTTTTGGTTGCATATAAATTTATAATATTTAAACAAATAATATTTAACCAAAATCTCAGGTAATGAAGACTTGAAGAGATTCAAGCTAGCAATAGCATCACCCTTATAACGGTGTCAAGCTATCTAGTCGTGCGTCCATTTATTAGGTGATTTAGGTCTCACTTTTTACGGAATAGAATGGTTTCATCCATGAATGACAAGCATCAATGCACAAGAAATTAAGCAATTTGGTTGAACTACAAAACAAACCTACCTCCAACTATAAACAATACACCAGTAATCCAAAAGTTGGCATACATCCACAAAACTAAAATAGCGAAGAGCCCAACAATGAAAAGCCCAGGAGTGCAACCCAAATACTGAACAGCAGCCCCTGCAGCACCCTGAAAGGCAAATCAACATAACATATCATCAGCATGTCATTAGTGAGCATTTGAAAACAAAGTGATTCTGCATAAGAACACTGAACAGTCTCAAGAGACCATCTGAAATGGGAAATGAAACAAGTAGAATAGCATACTGAGTATATTTTTTCAACAAACAGAGTCCAATGAATAGTACTGGCACAAGACTAAACAAGAAGCTAGAAGAGACTTTTTTCATCAACTATCGATGTTTACCATTTATCATTCAAGAACTAGAGATGAAGTTGAACTTCAAGCACTCTAATTGAGCTATAAATTATAATAACCTATTTGAGTTCTGAAAAGTTTGAATTTCAATACATACTTCAGATATCTGTATGGACATCTGTATGGCCTAAAACACAGGGAAAAGAGTGGAACTTTGCTTTTATCTCTAGTACAACCTTCAATGAGTTGGATATCTAAGTAGGTAAAAGTAAGACTCCAACATAATAAACTTGAACATCACCAAGCAACATATAATTGCTCATGTGACAATAAGACAAAGTTAACTTATTTGATTTATGAAGACTATGAAAAGATCATCACAAGAACCAAAAACTGTAGTACTTTCTCGTAGTTTATCCTGCAAAAGATACTAGTGCACAATTGCAGCATTCAATTCATGTCCAACTTGACCAATGAGCTTTAGGTAAAATCAATGAACATGTAGATATGTTCAAGTTCTTATTTGATGTGTCATTATATGTCTTACTAGTACAATGCATGTGCAATAAACCCAGGATCAAGCTAGCTAATCAGCAATTAATGAAGAGGAAGCAGATCTTGCTAAGTCACGAACCATACAGGAAATTAAAGAAAATGGAATAGAATCATACCATACTAAGGAGCACGTAAACCAGACAAGACAATGATGTCAAACTTAGAAAACAGCTCCACATAATAAGGAGCAATGCCGCGGATCCAAGTGCAAAGAACGATTTACAGCCCCTTACTAAACAATCCTTCCAGTATCTGAACAAGATAAAGAGCAATTTTCCTAGTATTGCACACCCACAGCAAACAATTGGCCAAATCCGCTCATTAAAGATTCCAACTTTATCCCTAAAACAGCCAGCAGCTGTCCTTACAACCGAATAACAATCTTTCTTCGATTGCAGCCACATCCAAGCTTGTTTAAATAACCCAATGTCCTCCATTACTAAACTAAATTTACACACCTAACTGAACAGAACTACAACACCCAAACCCCAAATTACCAAAAATTGCTATTGGTACCCATCCTTTTGATATGAGAACAACTCATTTGACCAAACCTGTGAAATCACCATATCATGAATAACAGTCATTATCTGCTAATCTCACTAAAGAACCCCCTTTTGTGTCATATAAAACAAAACCCAGATCATAAATTCGTCAAATCCAAACACCCAAGTAGCAAAAACAAGTAAAGACAAGATCCAGAAGATTCCATCTTCACGCAGTAATAAATGGAGAGTGGCAGTTGTTAGATGAGATAAGAAACCAAAAAGACAAAAAACAAAAAAAAACACAGTAATTTGCTTCACATGTACGTTTCCAAAAAAGCAATCCCCAATAAATATAGACACAAGACTCGCACTTTTTTGACTTGAACAATCACAAAGTTTCCATCTTTAACTGGGTTACAATGACCATTAAGAAAATCAGTTAAAACACAACCGTCTAGTGGTTAGAAAAACAGGGAAAACAGAGTGTATTGCAAACAAATCTTGATTCTTCTTCTTCTTCACCTCTTCTCTATCATTTCTTATTTTGGGTGAAGAAACCCTAGGCTTTTTCAGGGAATCCTAGTGAAAAAAGGTGTTAATACATAAGGTTAAAAAGTTCAAAAGGCCCAGAGACTGTGTAATGTGTGTGAGAGAGAGAGACAAGAGTGATGATGATAGATAGAATGTGTGGAATTATTAATTTTTGTGTGTATGAGAGAGGAGTTTAGTTTAAAGATTAACAAATAAACAGAGGATAACAATAATAACCATTGAGATTTATAAGTTTGTCTTGAGAGGCTGATTGATTTGAATTGATGTTATAGAATTTATTCCGAACATATTTATTAATTATTTAATATTTATATTAAAATCTAGCTAATTAAAATTTAATGTATAAAATTATTTAAATTAATTAATTTTTTTACTTAAATTCATATTAAAAAAATCATTGATGAAGTAACAAAAATGACTGTATAAAAATTTGATACAGATATCTCTAATTATAATAATTAAGAGAGAGAAAGTTTTCTCTACTGCAATACATAAATTGATAATACTAAATTACTACTAATAATCATTGAAGTGGGACCCCATTCCCACTGTTTATCTTCTTCTTTCTTTTTCATTTTATTTTGCTTTATCCAGTCACAATTTTTGGAGGTTTAAGGTGTTTAGTTGAAATGGATTTCATGACATAAGAAGGTGATGTCTTTTGTTTGGATATAAATAAATCTTCAAATAAAAATGTGTCTTTGAAGTTGAAATTAGAAACTCATATTTAAAAGTTTGAAGCTGTGTATTTAAAAAAAAAAATTATATAAGTTTAAAAAAGCTAATTATTTTATTTCTATATAATTGTAGAAAACTTATTTGTACTAATCATAATTATATGTGTTACTATTTAATTGTTTTGATTTGAACTTGATGAAATAACATTTACAAAGCGTCTTTTATAAAGTGATAGAATAAAAATTGATTAGCAAGCACAATCTTTTATTGAAGATTTTTTGAAAAAAATTAAGAACACATGACATGTCCAGATATTTTTTAAAATAAAAGATGAAATAACATGTTCAAATAGGTTATTACTTTGATATAGGAAGGAAAACAATAGTATAAACTGATATTTAAATTTGATAGTAGAAATTAAAGTAAATTTATATACATGAAATAGAATATAATAACCTTAAATAAAATATAATAACCTATTTAATGTATGTAATTTCATAAATGATGTATTGTGCATATGGAGATTTACCTTGAGAAATTCTTAACATTTTTTAGGCTTGTCTCAACTCTATTTTAGTATAATATAATATAATGTAAATAGATTTGGTAAGAAAATTGATAATATTTATAACAAATAAAAAGATATTGGTCCAATAAGTTAAACCAATTGATAAGGGCTAATTATCATGTAAGCAAACAAAGTTCAGTTGGTTATTATATAATTCATTGTCTTTCTTTATTAATGTTAATTTTTTCTTTCTAAAATATCTATCTCACTCAACTTTCTAAAGTCAAATTATATAAATTTTAATTAATATTTTAAAATATATTTTTCAATATATAGATACAATAAGATTTTAATTATAATATTTTTGTATTTAAAATATTAAATTTAATAATATATTAAAGTTATTTCATAAATCTCTCTCCATTTTTTTTAGCTCTACGACATTAACTTTTTTGTGGTTAAACAATATTATATTTATCTCCATTATTATTATTTTTATAACAATTCTTTTAATCTATTGATTATTGATTAATTTTTTTTATAATATTACTAATATTCCCTTTCTAATATATTTCTTTGTTCAATTAATTTTGTACACATTTTTTTTAATAAAATAAGATGTTCTTGTTTCATAGCTATTATAGGCTCATTCATTTCAATTTTTTTAAAAAAAAACGCTATGCATATATTTATGAATGAAGTTTTCCATTTTTTATCCTTTATTTCGATGTCAAATATGAATCAACACTTAATATAAAAAGGAGCTGAGAAATTTATACATAGACTTGCACTTAGTTTGGCTAGATCATGTTAAAGTTGAAGTTCCACCAATATATATTTATGTCCACTTTAAAGTCATTTTTACAAAATAATTTTAAAAAAATCTTACAATTGAGTTAATGTTTTTCAAGTGAAGAGTATTAGAATTATTTTTTAAATATTAACTGAATTTATTATTATGTTTCAGTAAATTGTATTAATATTGATAATTATTGAACAAACTTAAATTATATATTGGTCAAGTTAAAAATATATACTGTAAAGTAATTAGTTTACAATAAACATATAAACATTTTTTTATTTACATTAAAAAATAGCCAAAATTCATTCATAGTAAATATAAATGAACTATACAATATTATTTCCTACCCCTAACACCCCCCCCCCCTCCAACCCCCTCCATTCCAAACAAAAATAATTAAAAAATAATAAAAATTTAAAAACATTTCTAATTTTTAACAACCCCCACCCCGACCCTCCCGCCATTTTCCGTTAAAAAAATTATTTTCTAAAAAACATTTAAAACTTTTTATTTTTACGTCTACCCTTTACCTCTACCCAAACTATCCATCAAATGTCACCCTGATCAATTTTTTTTTCAAAAAAAAGTGTTTTTGCCAAAATATTTTGTAACCAAAAGTCTGTGTGAGGTTCTGGATCAGATCTTAAGATTAAGTCTTGTAACAACCTTCGGGATCTCATCCTTGCTCGGATGTTAAGGTTGTGTCCTAGATTAATTGTATTAATTTTTGGGTAAAAAATTATTTCTTTAAAAAGTATTTTCTAGTCTTAAACCAACAAATAAAAGATATTTTCTGAAAAATATTTCAATTATCAACTAAATATTAGAAAAATAAGTTAAGAGTCCACTTATTTTTCAAGAAAACATTTTCCTTCATATCAAATCAGGGGCGGAGGTACACTATATTAAGAGTGTCCAATTAGACACCCTTCATCGAAAAATTTACATTGTATATATAAGTAAAATTGTACTTTAAATGGTTAAATAATAAAATTTGGCCTTCTTTTAAGAAGTTCATACACGATGGTCATTTGAAAACGTGAAAGTAGATCAATGGGTAAATCAAGAAAATGACCAAAACAAGAAAAAATCTTCCAATTGATTTCTATTGAGGATATCCCTGAATTTGACGAAAGGTCTTTCCCAGGATTGACATAATAATGTTGTCACCATTAGCATCAAGCTGCAGATGCACAGGGAAAATGTCAGCATTGATGATTTTAATCCCATTATCACCAATAGCATTGAACTCTTCATGAAATTTTTGTTTTTCTTCATGAACTTCATTTATTTTTTCTTGTTGTGCCACAACTACTACTTTTGTATTTTTCCCTTCTTCTTCCTGAACTTCATTTATTTTCCCTTGTTCCTCAACTTCTTCTTGTTTTCCATCTTCTTCCTCCACTGCTTGTTTTTGTTCATATTCCTTTTGACAAAATTCTACTTCTGCTTGAGAAGAAGAAACTGTTTCAGTTGCGAGATTTTCTAAAGTGTAGTATTTTCGTTCCTCTTCCTGACAATTTTAGACCTAGCCTTCTTCTGGATCTTTGTTTGGTCAGATGTATCAATATCAAGTTTTCTTTTGACAGGAGCCATCATATTTGTATTTGCAAGCACAAAAATAAAATATTTGAAAGCCCAAAATGAGCTACAACCACAAGTCAAAACAGGACAATAAGGAGATAAGCAAGCAAATGCATTTCAAATTCTAATTAAATATACCTGATAAGATATATATCAATGATAAAGTAGAAATTATGAGGACAACACAACATCGCCTTTGCTGTAGAAGATGATATGTGAAAGAAGGAAGAGAAGAAGAGAAGAGAAGGAGAAATGTATTGTACTGGCAAAAAGAGAGGAGAAAACTGAAATTAATTAGTATAATTAAATAAATCTTGAAATACGAAACTACACATTTATAGAAGAGAGGAGAGAGGAGGAGAGAGGGGGGAGGAAAATGAAATTAAAGCCATTTACTTTTTTAAAAATTAGGACAATTCAAACTGTGACATATGTTGCCACATATATACTATATGTTGCTACATATATACGATCTGTTGCCACATATAATTTTGTCGTGTTTATTACTACAGAAATACAATGTTGCGATGCATATACTATCTGTTGCTACAGATGATTCCCTCTGTTGCCACATATAATTTTGATCATTTTCATCATAATTGACATTTTTTAAAACAAAATCAAAATAATCATAAAAAAAAATTTAATTAATACATAACACCTATCTAATCAATGGTTGTAAATACAACATTTTCATCGATCTTAGCTCTTCTTTTTTTAGTTCAACGCATCTCTAGGTCTTCGTTGTCTCTAACATAACCATTTCGAGCCTTTACAATCCCATAATTCCATAGGAGTGTAGCATATCTCAAGCGAAGGGTTCAACACTAATTCCACATGATGGTACTTGTAATTCATCACTCAAATACTCAGTATATGAAGCAACAAAAATTCCACAATCTCTGCATGGTATATCATGAATCAAAAAATATAATAACATCACATTTCGATAGTCTTAAGACAAAATAATATTGTGATACTTACATACTACTGTTTTCTTGTTGGGCAATACCAGTAACATGACTGACTTTGAATGGTTGAGATTTGTTCTTTCCTTGGTAACATTTAAGAACTGACCAGTTGGTTCGCTCATTTTGCTAAAAAAATCCACTCAACTCAAAGTACTTTGGCAACATTGTAGCCATCTTTTGAATCTCGGAGGATATTTTTCTATTAGACCTATTTGAGGACATGGAATCATACACTTTTATGCATCGTTCCTTCAATGCAACGACTGCCAATACCCAATGAAATTCCACATTACTACTTACAGGGACATAAACATCATTCGTCAAGTGTCAAGGCATTCTAGAAGGTATAGCATACCCTTTCATTGTGTTAATGATTTTATCATCTTTTTCACTAGAATTGTCGATGTATATTTTGAAAAAATAACTAGTGGTGTATATTGATATTTAGAATGAATCTGCTGCTTCGACTTCTTGGCAAATAGTAAAATTTGACATCCACATACTGCACACATAGATGAAACAAGTGTATCAATTTAATTGTATATATTCATGTACTATACAATACATAAAAAAGTGGGCATGATATTACCTCATCATTCCAGCATCTATTGGGTTGAGACATTACGTAGAACCAGTCTCT